TGTGTGTGTGTGTGTGTGTGTGTGTGTGTGTGCGTGCGTGCGTGTGTGTGTGTGTGTGTGTGTGTGTGTGTGTGCGCTCAAGTCGTTACGCTCAATGACTTTGCCCACGAACTTATTCCCCTCTTCCCTCTCCCCTCTCCCCTCCTCCCCTCCTCCTCTCCTCCCTACCTCCTCCTCTCGCCTTTCGTCTCCTTTTTTTTCCCTTCTAAAAGGATAGAGGACCGAAATGTATTGCGGTGTTTGAGAAAAGATCAGAATGACCGAACCTTTAGTTTGAATATTATCTTGAGTACGCTGGGTGCGCATCGATAAACCAGCGTGTATCTAAGGCAGTTTCACGCTCGCGTTCACTAAATGAAGTTCAGTGTGCAATGCGTGGTCCCACGTTATGAAAATAAATAACCAGACGAGTTTTTAAACCTATCTATTATTGTGAACCACTTTTCTATTCATTCCTCATTCCCTGGTGCCTGGTTGATTGGTCCAGGTTCTCACCGTCCCGTTCCCAACCCTCCCTTCCCCGTCCTCCCTTCCCCCGTCCTCCCTTCCCCCGTCCTCCCTTCCCCGTCCTCCCTTCCCCCGTCCTCGCTTCCGCCGTCCGGTTCCCCGTCCGGTTCCCCGTCCTCCCTTCCCCGTCCTTCTTTGCTGGTCCTCCCTCCCCGTTCCTCTCTCCCCCTGGGCCCCCTCCTTCCTCCCCGGTCTCGTTCCCTGTCCTCCCTCCCCCCCGTCCCGTCCCCCGTCCTCCCTTCCCCGTCCCTTTCCGCGTACAGTTCCCCGTCCTTCCTCCCCGGTCCTCCCTCCTCGGTCCTCCCTCCCCTGCCCTCCCTCCCGCGCCCTCCCGCCCCCGTCCTGTTCCCCGTCTTTCCTTCCCCCGACTCGTCCATTTCCGCGAGTCCCCCTTCCTTCGTCCCGGGCCCCGTCCTCCCTCCTCCGTCCCGGTCCCCGTCCTCTCGCCTCCTTAAATGATATGACCTTGCCATAGCTTGATTTGACGTGATTTCGTATGATTTGCTTTGAAACCACTTGATTGGTTTGGTTTTGATTCGATTTGATTTGATTTGAGTTGATTTGATTTGACTTGATTTGATTCGATTACATTGAGTGCTTGCTGTGAATCTGGTCGACCCGACTGTCCGCAGCAGGGGCAGCTGCTGACAATGCCGTTGACGTCATCGTTCGTCGTTACTGGCAGGTCGGGATGTGAGACGGCAACGACGACGGGGACGACGACGACGACGATGCCCTGCGCCTGGAAGAGGCCGAACAGCAGCAGCCGAAGGAGGTCGTTGACGTCATCAGGATTATCTACAGAAGGATGTAGGAGCTGCTTCTTTGAAGTGGCGGCCTTTAAGGCGCGCCAAGCCGAGGTCGCGGCCGCTAACAGCAGCAGAATCACCCAGCGCAAGGCAGAGCGGATGAGGACGAGAAGGGAGACGATCTCCCTGCACGGCAACTGGAGATGTCCTCCCTGCCACTCCTCCTTGTCCGCCCCGTCATCATCCTCTTCTTTTTCATCTCTGTCCTTTCATCGAAGTCCCCTTGTGCATACACGCGGCCTCCTCCCCTTGAATACCATCGGTGTCATTGTCACCACGACAGACGATCGTCGGAAGATGTCATTTGGGCGAACCAATCAGCTGGAGAAACGAACAGGCAGCGTTGTGACCGTGATGGCTGGCAGGATAAAGTTTTCGTCGTCGTTGGCAGTGGACATTCCCCTCAGAGAGCATCCAGAGGTAGGGGTGATGAGCAACAGATGGAGACTGGTAGAGGTGGGGGGGGGGAGGAGAAGGGGTTGGGAGGGGCGAGGGTTAAAGACGGGGGGAAGCGGTGGGTTGT